GATACCCCGTCCCCCACTCCCACAGCCCACCCCCCATGAGGAGCACCCCTGCCCCCCCTTCCGCTGTGCATGGCCGGGGTACCTCATGCCCCGCCCCCTGCTCTCCGTGCCCAACCCCTCACGGGGAGCCCCCTCCCCTGTGCACCCCCAGGGTACCTCCCGCCCCTGCTCCCACCAGCCTGTCCCCCCACAGGGAGCACCCCCTCCCCCTCCTCTGTGCACCCCTGGGGTATGACCCGCCCCCCCCCATGGAGAGCGCACTGCCTCCTCTGGGTACCCCCCCCAGCCTGCCCCCTGTGGGGAGTGCCCCACCGTGCCCTCTCCTCTGTACAGCCTCTGGGTACCTCCTGCCCCCTGCTCTTCCCAGCCCGTCCTCCACGGGGATCGTTCCCTCCCCCAATGGGAGTATGCACTCCGTCCCCCCCAGGGGAAGGGTAATGAGCTGGGGTGCTCCTTGAACCCCGTGTGCTCAGCGTTCGGCCCTGCCCCATGGGGCTCCACACGCCAGCCCTGCCCCCATGCCCGTTGGAGGGCCAGATCGGCCCTTTGGGCCCCTCTGGCTGGTCTCTTGCCCCCTCCCTGCCCCCCTGGGTCAGACCGCACATCTAGCTGGTATCTCACCTGCTCCCTCACTCAGCCCCTGGGCCCCTCCAGCCGGCTGCCCCTGTTCTCTCGGGCTGGGCAGGCAGCGCAGGTCCGGGAAGCGTGGTAGTGTCTGGCTGTCAGCACTGGGGGGTCTCCAGGCGGCAGGGGAGATGCTCGCCCAGCCCTTGGGGTGCTGGGCTACTAGAGTTGTAGTCCTGGCACCCCTGCTTCTGACCCACTCCCCTCCCAGAGCTGGGGGCATCTAGGGCCAAGTCCCACCCGCCCAGCACGAGGCAGTGCCGGCTGTTCCAATAGAAGCTGCCAAGCCCCTTGTTATGCAGCAGCCTGTGGAACTCGCTGCCACTGGAAGTTCCTGAGGCCAGAAACAAAGCGACTCTCCAAATGGACGTTTTTTATTCCTTCCTGACCCCAGTTTCATCCACCAACGCTGCTGGATGCCAACACTACCCAGTTTCAGCGTCTCCCTCCCAGTGACTGACAGGCCAAGCCGGTCTCACGAGCTCATCCGGACTCCTGGGTTCTGTCCCCAGCTCTGGGAGGAGAGTGGTCTCTAGTGGTTAGAGTAAGGGGGGCTGGGAATTAATAATTAATTAATGGAGATATCCTATCTCCGAGAACTGGAAGGGACCTTGAAAGGTCATCAAGTCCAGCCCCCCCTGCCTTCACTAGCAGGACCGAGTACTGATTTTGCCCCAGATCCCTAAGTGGCCCCCTCAAGGATTGAGCTCACAATCCTGGGTTTAGCAGGCCAATGCTCAAACCACTGAGCTATCCCTCCCCCCCCGGACTCCTGGGTTCTCTCCCCAGCTCTGAGAGGGGGAATGGGATCTAATGCGAAGGTGGGGAGGTGGGAGTCAAGACTCCCGGGTTCTGTCCCTATCTCTGGGAGGTGAGTGAGGTCTGGTGGTTAGAGCGAGGATGGATGAAGCTTGGACTATCCCAGCACTGTCAGTCCCAGCATGCAGTGGGGCGGTTCTTCGGCCCATCGGGTCGGTTTGTGGTGCCGAGATTTTTGCAGCCGAGTTTCCGCTGGCCTCTGCTTTTTGCCAGCGCTTTCTGGGTGACTTTTCCCGCTGTGTGCGGCAGGGTGAGGCCAGCGCTGCGCCTGGTCCTGGGGGGGTGCTGGTTGACAGGGGCGGAGGAGAGACCCCAACATGATCGCGGGACGGGAGAAGGGGCCCGGTAGTGAGCCCGTCACAGCGAGGACGGAGCAGCGATGGTCAGGGTGGCGGGGAGGAAATGGGAGGCTTGTGGATCCAGCCGAGAACCGGTGGCTGGAGATGAAAGCCGGACAAAAAGGGGTGGAACCACGGGGCCGGGTCGGGAGCTGACGGGACCCCCGATGTTGCAGCACCACAGCCCTTTATAAAGCAGCTGGAGAGCTCGGCGCTTTACGCAAGAGAAGGAGAGTTATCTCTGCTTGATGGCTGGGGAAACTGAGGCACTGAGCAGGGGAGTGGCTTGCCCAGCTTCCCTCCCTCCCCCACATTCCCCCCCCTGCCTCCCCCGCGGCCCCCCCCCCCCCCCCCACTGGTCTCACCCTCCGAGCACGGGATCTCCCTCCTCTTCCCCCGGAGGCTGCTCCCCTGCCCCAGCAAAGGGGACAGACCCCCAGGGGTAGTACAGCACTGCCGGGACTTCCCATCTCCAGCTGAGGGTCCCGGGACTCCCCCCCCCCATGCACCCCGTGGGCTCCCATTAGCTGGGCGGGTGCTGGGTCTGGGCGTGGACCCGGCCCTGTCTGCGAAAGGGCCTGTGTCGGGCCGTTGGTCTGAGCCTGGCTGCATGCCCGTCTCCCAGCTGGCTCTGTGCCCCTCCTGGGCGCAATCCCCATGCGGTGCCCAGCTGCCCGGGCCCCGCTGGCTGTTAATGAGCCATTGTCTGGCGACGGAGCCTGCTGGCTGGCGGCTGGCTGCAGCGGAGTCCGTGGAGCAGAACCCATCCCTGCCCCAGCCAGTCCCCCCCGCCCTGGGGATGGATCGAGGCCAGCGCCCACTAGAGGGGAAAGGGCCCCACCCCCCTGAGCCAGCCGGTGCCCTGGCCTGGCGCCGGATTGGGGTGCAGGGGTTGGCATGGCCGGGGTCCTGACTGGCCTCGCTGTGCGGAACGGTGCCAAATGCCATGTTGTTGGCTCGCGTCCATCCCCCTGACGTCAGGTCTGCGCACGGCCAGCGCTTGTGTAAATGCCACATTCGTGCCGGTGCACGGGGGAGTCAGCTGAGCTACCTGGGGGTGCCCGAGGTCACCTATGGTAGTGAGTTAGAAGGCGGGGGGGCTGGGAGCCAGGACTCCTGGGTTCTATCCCCAGCTTTGGAAGGGGAGTGGGGTCTAGTGGTTAGAGTAGGGGGGCGCTGGGAACCAGGACTCCTGGGTTATATCTCTGTCTCGCATGCCCATTCCTTCACTGCAGACTTGCGGTCCTTGCTGGGGTGGCGCCGGCTGGGGGGGGGGGGGGGGGGGGGGTGAGGTCTCACATGGGAGCGGTGTTGGCTCGTTTCACCGTGCGGCTTTATTGGTATTTGTCTGTGGTGTGGTGCGCAGCTGGTTCCCTACACAGACAGAGGTAGAGCAACCTCGGACTTCGATCCTTCCCCGTGTTTCCCCTCTGGGCACGTTGCTGTCCCAAAACCGCAGTGTAGAACAAAGAGAGGCTGGGCTGCACCAGGGCACGAAAATGTGCTCGTCCTGCACTGCTGACGTAAATCCACCCCCGGCTCTGTGGGGTAAAGGGCAAGTCACTGGGTGGCTGTTCCCCAGCTGCCCCACCCCAGAAGTGGCTGCATCTCAACACTGGGCGAGCCACCCCTATGTGGCATCCCTATGTGACCTTTGTAAACCAGACAGGGACTCAGACACGCTAGATCCGGCTTTCTTCCTCTAGCAGCTGGCTGATAGCTGCCGGGGGTGGGGTGGGGTGGTCTGGGCACATGCCTCACGCTTTAAGGAAGTGGCGTCTGGCGGGCACCCTGTGATGGGGTTTGCTGCTTCCCAAGCCTCGGGCCCTTTAAGACGGATGAGGAGTGGCTGCCTGGCAACCCCTAGTTGTCTAAGCAACAGCACGCTGGCACTCTGGCTCGCCCAGCAACTGGAAGGGGGGTGCTGAATCCAGCGGGCTCTGTGCCTGCCCCCTGGGGTCCAGACCGGGGTTCTGGGGCCCTGGCATGTCCCATGCCCGCCTTGGGGTGAGAGCCCAGGTGCTCTGGCGTCTCACGGTATGCAGGTCACAGAGCATGGGACTGCAGCATGGCGCGGGGCCGGGATCATCTAGCCATGATGATGGGAGACCTGCAGGGAGCGGAGCTGGGGGCTCTGTGCTGTGGGGAGCAGGGCGGGGGCTCAGTCGGGGGTGCCGTGCTGCAGGGAGGGGGCAGGGTGGCAACCGTGTTGCAGGGAATGGGGCAGCTGGGGGGCTCATTTCCTTTTCCCTTAGGAACCCCAATTTCCCCAACCCGTGCCCCATTTCCCCTTGGATGTTTTTCTCCTTAACATCCTGGCGCAGCCTGCTGGGCAGCGTTGCTGGGGCCGTGGCTAGCTGCTGCGCTCTCCCCCAGAGGTGGCTGCATTTCAGTGCTAGGTAAAGCAGTGGGATGGAAAAAGGGGGTGGGCCTTTTGTCTCAGCCCCTATTCCACTCTCTTCTCCCCCCCCCCTGCTTCCCCACTGTATCCTTCCTGCTTCCTCTCACGTTCTCCTCCTCTTCCTCCCCCTAGGCTCCCCACGGACAGAGCCCAGAGCCCCGAGCCAGCTGCAGGGACTGAGAGCCGCCTCGGTGGAGCGGGCTGGGGGGCGCTGCCCATTTCAAGGTAAGTACCCCGGATTCCACTCCCCCAGGCCGGGCTGGGGGACCCTGGGCACTGGAGCAAATTGGGGGGTTGGGACACCGGGCCCTTGCCCTGTAGGCAGGCGCTGGCTCTGATCCAGCCCCATGGAGGTGGGGTTGGGGAGTCCCTGGACCCCTCCTGCCCTGGCGTGGGCAGAGTCTGGGCACCAGCGTCAGTCCAGGATACGGATTAGAGCAGCTATGCCCTGAAATTGCACAAGGCTGGTCAATCTGGAGAAACCAGTTCCCAGACCTAGGAAGTGGGGGCAGGGGACACCATGATGGGTGGGGGCTAGGAGCCAGGACACCTGGGTTCTATCCCCGAGGAGGTTAGAGCGGAGGAGGAAGGAACTGGGAGCCAGGACACCTGGGTTCTGTGCTGGGGAGGGGAGTGGGGTCAAGTGGTTAGAGCAGGGGAGGAAGGAACTGGGAGCCAGGACGCCTGGGTTCCCTTGGTGCTGTTGGCCCTGCTGCTGGAATGATCCCCTCCCCCTAACAGCAGCAGGCCCAGGGACAAAGGGTTCCTGCAAAGTATGTCAAACATCCAGCCCCCGGGGCACATGAAAGCAGACGCGGGTCCCGGGGTCAGGGCCTGGACGCTGGGCTAGGTGGAGCCAAGTCCCAGAAGGGGAGCACCCCACAGGCAGGACCCAACTGGGCCAGCCTCATCGCCAACCAGTGCATCCCCCTCCCAGAGCAGGGGAGAGAACCCAGGAGTCCTGGCTGGCTCCCAGCTGTCTGGTGGGAGGGGAACCTGTGGTGGGGCGGGATCTGTTCCCGGAGACACTTGTTGAGCCAGGGGCTGCTGGCTTTTGTCTTCCCTGATTTCCCAATTCCTGCCACGCCTCCTGCAGCAGTGTCTGGCTCACTTCAGGCAGGTGAGGTGGTGAGTCCAGGACGCCTGGGATCTTCGCCAGGCACTGGGAGGTGAGTGGAGGCTAGGGGTTAGAGCAGGGGGGGCTGGGAGCCAGGACTCCTGGGTTCTCTCCCCTGCTCTGGGAGGGAAAAGGGTCTAGGGGGTAAGAGCCAGGACTTCTGGGTTCTGTCCCCTGCTCTGGGAGGGAAGTGGGTCTAGGGGGTTAGAGCAGGAGGGCTGAGAGCCAGGACTCCTGGGTTCTCTCCCCAGCTCTTGGGGAGCAGTGGGGTTGGTTTACAGGTGGCATAGGGGGTCATGCTACCTCCCTCCCCCCGGCCTGTCCCCAGGACGCAGTGCCGTAGCCGTCCCCGCCTGCCATGGCTAGATGATCCCGGCCCCGCGCCATGCTGCAGTCCCGCGGCCGGTACCTGCTGCTCCTGCTGGGGGTGCAGCTGGTGGTGATGGCGCTGCTGTACCATGAGGGCTACCGCCGGCGGGTCGCCTACTTCCTGGGCATCTTCTACAAAGGGGGGGCCCCGGCCGGGCTGGGGGGACCACAGAGCGCCGCCCACAATGCCTCGCTGCCCGGCGACGTCTACGCCAACCTCAGCCTCATCGCCCGGCCCCCGCTGCGTCCCGAGGAACTGCCCTACTGCCCTGAGACCTCCCCATTCCTAGGTAAGGGGCGCTCGGAGCCCTGACTTCACGGGGGGGGGGGGGGGGGGGGGGGGGGGGGGGGGCTGGGGTCAGGACAGCTGGGTTCTATCCCATCTCTGGAAGGGGAGTGGGGTCTAGTGGGTAGAGTGAGGGGTTTGGAGTCAGGACCCCTGGGTTCTCTCCCTGGCTCTGTCGGGGGAGTGGGGTCTAGTGGTTAGATCAGGGCAGCTGGGAACCTGGACTCCTGAGTTCTGTCCCTGGCTGTGGGAGTGGGACAGAGATTTGGGGCTCCCATGGCTTTGAAGCCCCTCTGTGGGGTATGGGGGCGGCCCCCCAGAGCTTGTGAACCCCAAGTTTGCTAGGGCTCAGACGTTTGCCCTGCCCCTCTGCCCTGCAGGGGGGCCGATCCGGGTGACCTTCCCCCCGGGACTGACCCTGGAGCAGATTGTGCGCAAGAACCCCTACGTGACGGCCGGGGGCAGGTACCAGCCCCCCGACTGCGACCCCCTGCACCGCACGGCCGTCATCATCCCCCACCGCAACCGGGAGCAGCACCTGCGCTACCTCCTCTACTTCCTGCACCCCTTCCTGCAGCGCCAGCAGCTCAGCTACGGCATCTACATCATCCAGCAGGTGCCCTGGAGGCCGGGGTCCGGGGGGGCGGCTCTTGGGGGTTAGAGCAGGGGGGGCTGGGAGCCAGGACTCCTGGGTTCTATCCCGGCTCTGGGAGAGGAGTGGGGTCTAGTGGTTAGAGCGGGGAAGCTGGGAGACAGGACTCCTGGGTTCTATCCTGGCTCTGGGAG